CTTTGGTTGTTTCTGCATCCTCTATTCTGCTCCATTGATCCTCATGTCTGTTTTTGTGCCTGTACCATGCTGTTTTTATCACAGTAGTTTTCTAATGTAATTTCAGGGCTGGGGTTGTGATGCCCCCTGCCTTGTTCTTGTTGTCTAGGATAATTTTGGCTATTCTGGGTCTCTTTTGGTTCCATATAAATTTTAATATTATTTTCTCTAGTTCTGTGAAAAATGCTGTTGATATTTTGATTAGAATTGTATTAAATCTGTATATCAATTTTGGAGGACCAGGATATAGCTCAGTGGCACAAGCACCCGCCTGGCAAGTGCAAGGTGCTGAGTTTGATGCCCAGTACCAAAAAAAAAATTGTTTGGAAGCATGGCAATTTTAACTATCTTAGCTCTGCCTACCCAGGAACAGGGGATACCTTTCTATTTTTTGATATCCTCTTTGATTTCCTTTTTCAGAGTACTATACTTTTCATTGTAGAGCTCTTTCACTTCCTTAGTTACATTAATTCTTATGGGGGCTGGGGATTTAGCTCAGTGGCAAAGCGCCTGCCTGGCAAGCGCAAGGTCGTGAGTTCGGTTCCTGATACTGGAGAAAAACCAAAAAAAAAAAAAATTCTTATGTATCTAATTTTCCTTGGATATAGATCAGTGGTATTTTTTTCCTCGTTTTTTCTCAGTGGATTTATTATTGGTTTACAGGAAAAACATTCATTGTTGTGCATTGATTTTGGACATTGCTGAAGTTGGTTATTATTTCTAGGAGTCTTTTGGTAATCTTTTCTTTGGATATTCTATGTAGGGGACTATGTCATCTGCAAATAATGATAATTTGACTTCTTCCTTTCCTATGCATATCTTCTTTATTTCATTTTCTTGGCTAATTGCTTTTGCTAATATTCTGAGTACTATGTTGCGCAAGAATGGTGATAGTGGACATTCTTGTCTTATTCCTGATTTTAGAAGGAAAGCTTTCAGTTTTTTTCATAAATGGCTTTTATCAGATTGAGATAAGGTCCATTTGCATCTATTTTCTTCAGTATTTTTATCATGAAAGGATGGAGCA